GACACGGAGCAGACGGGCTGGCAGGGGCTGCACCGCCCGGTCCCGCAGGCGCCTTTGCCTCGGGCCAGTAGTTGCTGTCTGAGCCGGGTTCTGCCACTTCCCAGCTTCCTCAGTTTAAGGAGTGATGGATGTGCATTGAGACGAGCCTGCCATTCTTTTATTTCATAAGAAGGATGGAGCAGATGTGCTCATAGCCCCCCAAATCCTTGCAGGTAGTCGTTTATGTACTTGGGTATTTTTAAGAATGCATATTTGCACAACCAAGCTACTCAGTCCATGGTAGGAGAAAAACTGGTTGTCCAATGTCCAGCAGAGACTGGCTAGAGACTTTCTGCAYTCCTTGCTGGAGCACAGGATAAATATAATAATCATCATGAATGAATTAGTGTAGATCAAATAAAGCTGGGAGCAAATTTACCTAGGATGAGAGGCAGGGCTTGTCTTGAGCTGGGGATTGTGCCCGCAAGGCAGTAGCCAGGACCAGAGCCAGGACCTCTCCTGATCCACCCAGACTAGCACGGCCAGGGAGACACTTCAGTCCTTGCAGCCAGGTGTGGGTCCTAGATTTGCCCTGAAGCCAGACCTGTTTTCTGCGCCTAGCTTTGCCACTGTGCACAAGGCCCTTGTGTGACCTTCGGCAAGTCACTGGCACCTTCTTCAGTCCCTTCTCCGACTGTCTGGCCTAGATCCACGGAGACTGTTAGGTCTACCAGGCACTCAGTCGCAAGCAGAAACATGCACGTCTGCCATCGTAATAAAAATTCTAGGAAAGAAGCTAAACACCATGTGTTTGTGCAGTGTCTCACATAAGTGCGTGCTGATCTATTACAGATAATAAATAGTCAATGAATTATGTATCGATCTACCAATTCTTATTCTGYGGAAGATAAGAACATTTACCTGCAGAAACTGGCATTGGCTACAAGCCTTTTTGCACATTCTCTATATTAATATCAACTGGGGTTATGTCTATTAAATTAAAGTAGTACCTAGTACATGTGCAGCTCCTGCCAACACTGTTTTTCAATATAAGTGCTGTGCCTGTTTGTGGTAATCATTAGTATCACAACAAGATTTGATGATTATGACTTGTTCTGGACTTTCTGTACAAAAATTCTTCCCATTTTAAATATTTTCCTTTTTTTTTTAAAAAAAAAGTAGCTGTAAATCATTTATTTAAATTTGCAATTATAAAAACTTATATCAAACGTGAAGTGTGCTATAGTCTAATAAAGACATTTTAATTTAAATTACAATGCTGAAATATTTCTGTTGCTGAAGTTTAGAAGAAGGTAGGAACACCCAGCAATGGGGAATTATTAGCTAATTACCTGGAATGAGCACTGAAATGATAAAACTGCAGCTCTTTTTGCAGGTGCAGCAATAATGTTTCTATTCTGCTTAGTATAGTTCATTTCAAAGTGAAAAACTGATCTGAGTGCTGGCTAAAAAGATGCTTTCCTCTCTTTTAATCTGTTATTGTAAAACCAGTATAGGGGGCAAAGACACTATCTAAATCTTGAACAATATAAGGTCTAAACCTCCCCAGAGCCTCTGCTTGCAGCTGCCTCAGCAGCACTTCTGTCTTGTGCATCATCTGGGTCACGGCGACCACAGGCAGCTGATTAACTCCACTAACTGAACTAGAGAATTCCAGAATTTTTGTTTCAATAAATCAATTATCGCTTGAGGAACGCAGCTTGAGGAAGTTCTTTTTATACTTCTGCCTTGAGCAGATTTAGTGTAGTTGTGTTGATCTGAAACTTTTCAAATACCGTTTTTCCTCACTTTAAGCTTATATTTCATCCAAATACTGCTTGACAATTCTAAACCAAACACTCCACAAAAGTGCATACCACCCCTCTCTATGTGATATAACTATAATGAAACTACGTGAAAGATAGACAATTTGATAGCCAAATAAGATTTTTCTTGGGTAATTTCACAAAATAAAATACTTCTCTGGAAGTCTGAAAAGAGTTTATGTTCCAGAATGCTGGAGTTTTTTGCCTATGTAAGAGGCAGAAGTGGTAGCAAAAGTTGCTTTTCATTGTTGTTTTWAAAAGCTTCACAAGAGAGGCCCAGGCCCATCACCTCATGGCACAAATGAGTAGTGAGGGATGCCTGGATTATCCGGGAATCAGTGTGTTGATAGGCTGCAAGGACAGGAAGCTGTTTCCCATGGTGTTTGACTGCCTCCTCTGAGRTGAAGGGGATACAATTCCACTCCTGTTCCAAATCTGGCAAGAAACAGGGCTAAGTATGACCCCAGGGTAGGCACAAAACGCACCGCTCGTGGATCAGTAAGTATTTCCAGCACAATACCTGACCATGGGTGCAATCCAGCTGGTGACCCGCATTCTCCGGAGCCTTGACTGCAAAGTAAAAAAAATACTTTAGGCCTTATCAGCCCAGGAGGAGAAACTTAGTCCTCCAGGTGATTAACTCTGGAAGCCCTGGAACATGGGATTTTATTGTAATCCTTATCTTCATGTGTAACTGCAAGCGCTAGGAGCATGCTGAGAGCAAACCCCTCTCYGCAGCCCCCCGAGGAAGGGGGCAGAGGCAACATAAAGCCCCAGATCCTCAGGCTTCTAAAGATCTCTAAGCATTAACTGCAGGCACGAGGGGCAGTGAGCAGCTTTGCTGCAGCTCCACAGAAACCCGGGCTTTGGATAGCAAGAAAGGTGAGACAGGCGAGGTGCTCTTGCCCTCTCGGAGATACGGAGCTCAGAGCTGGTTTCCTTGTACCGCTTGCGGTCTTTGTTTCCATTTCCAGCCTCCCCTGCTTTCATGCACRCTCGCCACGGCCGAGCCCTGACCCTCTAATGCACCCGCCGCTGCTGCAATAACCATCATTCAGGTTCATCCCCRAGCGGGCTCGTCACTGATCTCCGATTCCTTGTGCTCCGTCTGCGCCGAGAGGGCCCGCGCGCCGCTCGGGCGCTCCGCTAACGTGCGCGATGCTCTTGCAGGCCAATCTGCCCCTGCTCCAGCGGGAGCTGCTGCACTGTGCAAGGCTAGCCAAGCAGAACCCAGCCCAGTACCTCGCTCAGCACGAACAGCTGCTTCTGGATGCCAGCACCACCTCACCTGTTGACTCCTCAGAGCTGCTTCTCGATGTGAACGAAAACGGGAAGAGGCGAACTCCAGACAGGTGAGAGCGGCGGCGCCTCGCGCGGTCTCTGCACGGGGGCAGCTCTGCCGCCGTGCCCTTGTTTCAGGGCTCCGGACCCCGTGGCAATGTGAAATTGCAGCCGTGCATGTGTGGACAGACCTGTGAARCAGTGTGGGGCTGTGTCTGTGTGTGTGCAGACAGGCACACGCTGACGCCAGGCAGCGGGACCCTCTGCTTGCACGTGGCAAGGCCGAGGAGCCACTGTGGCCGTACCTAAATAGAAATAACGCAGAGCAGACACAGCTAGAGTAACTATTTGGTGCACAGTGTTTCTGCACAGCTTAAAGYGATTAGCAGATCATTCCAGGTCCGTATGTAAATCCTTTGTATGGAAGGCTTTGCTGCAGTAAATATTAAATAGGGGGCGAATAGATCGGCACTCATACTGGGAAGCGCAAGCCAAGCTCCGGAGCACATCCAGGGCTCTGATTCCTMATTCTGGTCTGCCGTGTTTTACACAGTGCATTAGGATATGTTTAACATTTCTTCCAAGCAGAGGAGGGGTTCCCTGGAGTCGGTTGTGTTGCTGAGCAGAGGAAGGTTCCCTGTGAAAGCAGGGAGCAAGCAAGCACGTGCGTGTTTGTGTTACACTAGCTTTAGGGAGCTGGAACGATTTTCTCCTTTTCTTATTTGAATAARCTTCTGTGTTTAGTATTACAAAAAAACGATGCTTGTGGTTATTTATTTTTAGTTGCCTTCCCATAATAGTGTTAGAAGCTCATTTGACATGCAAAAATTACCTTTGGGAGGCCCAAAACCTGGATTTTTCATCGTTTTCTTTGCCATGGGTGCTCTATCAGCTGCCTCTGCCTCCTTGCACAGGATATTGTCAGAGTCCCGGTTATCTTTGAATGGAAAAAGGGCAAAATTTGCAAAGCCTCCAGAGATTGCAAGCCTTGTACAGGTGACTTTGTTTTTGTGCATAGACAGAGAGTGATAGCATAAAATAGGAAATTTAAGAAGAAAAAAACTGAAGGCTGTTGAGGCTCCTATACTGAAATTCAACACTAAATATTTGGGCATGTATGAGCATGAGAGATTCATGATTYGGAGCCGATAGATCTAGAAAATGCCTGTGTAGTAATATTTGAAGCTATTCAGCAGATAATGAACAGTAAAAATTAAAGTAACATAGCCATTAGATAGAAGAAAATGTAAAAGGATTTGAAATGGACTTGCCTTAGGTTATATTTCACTTCCTTACAGAACTGAGGAAAGATATTTAATTTTCAGAAGTTATCCTTGTAGTTTGTATCTTTGGAAATAGAAGACTGAAATTCAGCCCCATGGAGCAGTTGGGCTGCATATCCTCAACTATTGCAGAGAGATGTAGAACCAAAATGTTCTGTGTATTATTCTGTGAATTAACTTAAATATCAGCATGGTAAAGACCAATGTCAGATGTGGGGTGTTGTGTCTCCTCCAAACAGATAGGCATACATTGAATTACCTGTTTAAGTCTGTGAGATCTTGATTAACAGAGAATGTAGAAGAGGGACATTCCTTCCTGATAGCCCTCACTGAAGTGCCATTTCCTGAGGAATGAAGGTCTCTCTCATWCTCCTTCCAGCTCTGGGAGTCTTGAATTCCTTTCAGTTTAGTAATGCAGCCTTAGGGTAGAGGATAGAGAGTTTTACTGGAGTGTTGTGGTTGAGGAAGCTCCTCTTGGAGATGGGACAGAAGTTTGATGGCCTTGGTTTGCRAGGAGGCTGAAGTCCAGGTATCTGGCCTCGCTGGCTGCTCCGCGTGAGCGCAGGGCTCGCTGTGTCCATCTCTGCTGGCTGATCCAAGCTTTGCGTTAATCTAGTGGCTGATCTGAGCTTTAGACTGATCAGAGCTTTGTGTTGCCAACACTTTAAGTACAATTGAAGGACGTTATCTGCATGAGGCCTCCAAAGCAACCCAAGCAGGCAAAGACTCAGTTTGTGACTTCCAGATGAAGCGTGAGAGAAGGACCAAGATGCRGCCCAGGGAAGTTGTGCCTGCTCTGAGCACATCAGCTAGAAGGTGTGCGTGTTTTGTGAGTGGAAACACGCACCTACAGACCAGAGGTGCCTAAGCAATTAGGCAGGAACTTTTGTGGGCTACTTACTTGAAATTAGATTCCTTAATTCTGTAAAAGTGGTTTTGCAGAAAAATACATYGTTCTTTTTTGACCCAGAGGTTGTTTGATTGCTGCCAAAGATGACCTTGAAAGACTGTCTAATGTAGCCATTGGCTCCTTAAGCTCAAAAAAGTACACATGATTTKTGGAGTTTCACTATCAATTTGGACCCTATTGCTGGTTAGTTGTTGCTAGATCTCCATTGACTGTGATTAAAGTTATACAGGAAAAAAACAAAAAAAAAACAGTATTTTTAGCCAAATTGAGACCAGTGGAGTTGTCTTGTGCACCCAAAAATATTTGTACTGATTCAATAAAATGAACAGGAGCCTCTTGGGAAGATTTTGAATGGGAGTTTGGATGCCTTTCAGTTTGGGTAATATAAGTAAAATCAACCCCCAAGAAACTATCCTCAGACCCAGATCATGCTTAGACCAAGTGAATATTGAAATCCAATACTTGCCTTGCTTAATAATGTTCAATAAGGTATTCATTAATTTTAATTTTTTGTAGAGAGTCAGGAGGAAACATCTGGGGGAATATRTATCTTTTAGTTAGATCTCTCTGAGTAGCTTTTAAATACACTAATAAATGTATAGTGGGAGTGGCTGCTACTTCTCTGTTGCTAAAATATGAAAAAAAAAAATCATGACTAGAAGGCAACATCTTTCCAGGGGAACTAAGTCCAACTGGAAGAATTTTCTWGAGAGATGCCTCTTACTAAAGTAAATGGCATTGTCTTTTTCACCACCCCTGGGGGATGGCTTCCTAAATAGYATGTGTATTTTATATATACACATGTTAGATACACACAAAAATATTTTAGAAATTATTAAAAATATTCTTCTGTATTTACATTATTCTTTGAAGAACAAACGAATGCATGCTGTGATTCCAGCAGAAGTGAAATTTTGCAAGGGATTTGCACTCAGAGCAGAATGTGTGTGTGCATAAAAATGCATAAACATTTGCACCTCTTGTGTGGTTTTTTGTTTGTTTTTGTCAAAGAAAATACACCTGCATACAGTATTCTCTTCTGCTTATATTTTCAGAACCTTGTTTGCATGTGCGTTTGCTAGTTCTAGTTATTTATCTGCATATCCAAATCTACTGTATGTGAGGTTTTATAGAGCAATCTGACAGCAGAGCTTCGTGTTTTACTGAATGTTTTCTTGGTGCATATGGTCTGACAYGGATGAGCAGCCACGGTGAGATTTTGGAGCCTATTAAACTAGCTCATTAAAAAGATCAATCTGTTTCTGTAATAACACTGGGAACCATCAGTCACTGCAAGAGAGAAAAACTGACACCTGAGGAGACAACACATTTTGGTAATTTGCTCATGACATGTCATGAACAAAGTGTTCAGTATATTTTGTTTACAACTTTTGGAGTTTACATGCTCGTGTAGTAAAGAAAAAGCACTTGGACCGATGTGAGTTTTTATTTTGGGGAATGAATGCCTAGTTGTAAATAACAGGATTCTAAATACATTCCTACAAAGGCTTTTTTTTGCTAATTAGTCATCTTTTGAGGTTGCTAGGAAAGAATGGGTGGCAAATGAGCGAGTTATGTAGTGACTGTATTTATGACAGCTACCTACAAACAGGATATGGAAAATTCTTAGGCAAAAAAGTCTGTTACAAGGTATCTACGGTTGAGAAGGGGAAGAAAGTGTTTATGGTTGTTTTGTGACTTCAGAAAGAGGCACTTCTTCTACCCTTGGTGCCCTAGCACTGTATTGATACTGAGGATATCTGGGCACAGGGGCCAACTTTGGTGCTTCTTTTAGGCAAATACTTCTGTTTCAAGAAGCTGCTGAGTGTCGTAATTAATGAGGTGAAGGATGCTCAGCAGATCTGGCAGCTATGCTCCTTGTAAGCCTGTATAATTATGACGAATTTTAAGAAAAAAATCTTGATATAAATAGCTAACATGTCAATATTCATCTCTTCATCTCACGTGGTATTCTCAACAACAACAAAAAATTCCCTAATAGAACATGAGGACTCCTTTGGTCATCATTGGCAGAAGTCCAGTTTAAATAAAAGCACCCTGCATAAATAGTGGATAAAGAACTTTGTCTTCGTTTTTTAAGCTGACTTGTGTATTCCTAGAAATTGGTGTAATATTCTACATCAGATGAAAGTTAATTTTCCAGTCTTTCATGATCTTATTTTTTATTCAGGAAATTACCTATCAATTGAAGAGATAACTTAAAAGCAACATAAGCTGTTTAAAGTGGGTACAAAATAATCACTAGTACCTACTTGGCTATCCTTAATGCAGGCAAATAATGATTCCAAGTAAAACTCATCTTTCTGCTGTTTATAGCCAAAGGACCCCATCTTTTTAATACTGCCAATTTTCTAAATGGCTCTGCAAATACAGACAGCTTTGAATACACATGAAGGAAACAGTCACCAATATGATGCAAGACAAATCAAGAAAATGTATCAATTAGACTTCCTACACATTTAATATGATTTCCCATCTATATCTTGTTTTGCAAACTCTTGATTTTGTTGCTTTGTAAAATCAGATGGTTCTGGCTAAAAATGATGCTTTTTGAACCCCRAGCTGTTTTGTTTCAGTAATCATATGGGTCTGTTGTGGAACAGGAATGCTGCCTTGGGCACCTCGGGAAATGTTCTGCTCCCAAGGGAATGGGAAAATGACTCCAAGAAGAATGAGTAAGACTGTGATCAAAAAGGAAGGCAGAACAGTAGGTTGAGGTCAGGCCTTCTGAACTATTGACTAGTTGTATKTTATAACTGTTTTTATCAGCATATTAGGATATATTGAATTTGCCAATCATTTTTTTTATGATGAGACTTTGGAAGTCATAACTGCACAGCTACGTTTTTCTATATTTTATTTAGTCAGAAATATTAAATCAKTTTGTGTACAGTCAAATTCTGGCATTCTGCTAAGTAGCTTTTTTGGACAGTGTAAAAATAAATTGTGGAATTAGGGTTTCAACACCCAGAAAGCAATTGACAGCTATTATGCAACATAATAACAAAAATAGGAATTGAATTTTAGTAAATGCATTTCCAATGGTAATATTAGTTTCTATGTTAGTTAAAGTAGSGGTTCTAGAAGAAAATGGACATGCTGGTGTGTATTGTCCAAGTTGCTACACTGCGTTGCAATTAAAGTGCAGAGCATTAAAAATAGCCCAGAAGYACCTGTACAGTGAGGTGCAATTATCAACATTTGTATGAAAATATGCTGTTTTGGCATCTAATTGCAGTGGAAAAAAAGCAAAAGCACATTCCCTGATTGTTTTCCAGAATCCCACATTTTGTTTTCTGCTTTGCTCTTCCTACATTAAACTACTTGAAACAGCCAGGGAAGATGATTATTTATTTGCAATTTCATTTTTCTTCCATCTTTGTTAGAGGTGGTTTTAACTGCCACTCTGAAATTATTTTTTCAAATAGTTTTCAAAAATAAAATCCTGTACTTTTCTATGCAGGAAAGTGTATGCCTTGCTCGTGTAGCTTCTTCTACAAATTAAGAAAAATATATTTAGTTTGATTAGATAATGTACAAATAAAACCAGCAACAAAATACAGAAATGGTCTTGAAAAGTTATCAAAAGCATCACTACTCACTGAAGTTATTACAAGTGGTTCCATCATGCTGAGTATCAGTAAAAAAATAYATATCCTGATGATCAGCTTTCCTTGGAGCCCTGCTGCAGTTGTTGTGGAACAAGGTGTAAACCGCAGTTGAACAAAGTGTTTCTTTTATCTCTTTGCTAAAAACAGTGTCAGCTGTCCTGCTGTACTGGTGTAAAATTCTCCTTTCTTCACCATAATGAAATATAATAAAACATATCTTTCTGCCTGATTCACTAGCATTAGTGACTGTGGTGAGATCCCTGGAAAATCCGTCTTTACTCTTCCTAAAAACAGTGGAACCGATCTTTTCATGTCCTGATGGTAATTGCTAGACCTTACTTTGATGCCCATGGATATTGGCAAAGCTTTGGCTTCTCCCTTTCTCTGCCCCTTGACATTAAAGGAGGTCCTACCGAGACACAGCAGTGATGGACTCTCTCCAGAGATGGTCACTCAAGGTTGCCTTGCTTGGTGGGGTGGTTTGCTGAAGAGGGTTGATTTTCTTTTCCTCTTTGACAGCAAGCAAATAACTTAAGAAAATTTGATCAAATTTACCTTGCTGTCAAAGTGATAAAGTTTTTTGTTACTAGGGAGATATATTATGTCATCCATAAATCATAGAGGAGGAAATTCTCAGGGAGCTGCACTGCAGCTGAGGTTATATGACTTCATTAAACGGTTTTCTGCCTTTAGACAACTTAGACACTTTTCTTTTTGTTTGTTTTTTAAAGAAAAACAGGATTTCCTCATCTGTTTAATAAAGATTTTTGGAGGGAGGGACTGAACAGTTTGAAGTATTTAAAATATTTACATTTAATAACTCTTCTTCACAGCTAGTCTTTTGTAGGTTTTGTTCGTTGCACTGGTATCAGAACTATCAGAAGAAACACAGCTTCCCTGAAAGCAGTTGTGAACCCATTAAAGTAACTCTAGACTTTCTTTCTAGGTTTTTTTTAATGGGAAATAATTCAGTGCAAGTTCCAAGCTCTCACCTTCATGGGCACAGGTTAAATATTAGTGTTGTGATCCTAAGCATTGTATTAGATTATGAGTTSATATCCTTATGTCCAGAGTTCAAACTGAAATTATAACCACCATTACTGTGGGCCTGACMGTAACTTTCATGTAACTTATTTTGAAGTAGCTGGTTATGAAGTGAATTAACAAGGCAAACTGCCATCCTCCCTGATAACTCTCTGAAGGTATCTCAGGATAAGGCACTGTCTGTTATGGTGTAGTGGAATGGAGAATCGTGAAGGTTATTTGAGGCCTTCAAGTAGGCCTCTCTGTGAATCTAATGGCAGGCCCACCACCTTGCAGTGAAATAGCCGAGGTGCTACAAAAACCTCTAAAGAAAACTTTTCTTCTTGAGTCATTCTTGCCCAAGAGACSAATCTAAAAAGCTGCTGCTACCATGTCTTTCAGTCCTGGAGGTTAACTAATGGTGGCATAGCTTACAGCACAGGTTCAGCATGCTGAAACACTCAGCCTGGACTGTGTGCTGTCCTCCGGCAAAAAAAATATTTCCTAAATTTAAAGTTTCCCCTAATCACTCTATGGAGTAGTACCATTAAGAATGGCTGGATCACCTGCCATGAAGGGTCACCTGGCCAGTATTTGTTAAGCTCCAGGGATAGTTTAACAGAGTGAATGTGTCATTTGTATGTTTTGAATGAGCATGGTTATGAAAAGTTGTGCAAAACCACATTGGGAGCACAAATAAAGAGTAAACTTTAGTTCTTAAAGCATCATGTGCATGTGGGGGTGCATGTGTCTGAACAGCTCTGCTCACAAAGCGAATAAAAATCCCTTTGCTTCCTTTTTCAGAACCAAAGAAAACGGCTTTGACAGAGAGCCTTTGCACTCAGAGCATCCAAGCAAGCGGCCCTGCACTATTAGCCCAGGCCAGCGGTACAGTCCAAATAATGGCTTATCTTATCAGCCCAATGGTCTGCCTCATCCCACGCCACCTCCACCTCAGCATTACCGTTTGGATGATATGGCCATTGCCCACCACTACAGGGACTCATATAGACACCCCAACCACAGGGACCTCAGGGACAGAAACAGACCTATGGGTAAGGCACGTTGATCCGCTGCATTGTTCTTTCCAAGTGCTGTTTTCCTTGTAATTTTACTCTGTCTTCTGGTTTAGGGTTTAATTTTTTTATGAGAAAATACACCCACCCATCACATACAGCCTTTGTGGATGATTGTCCGTCTAGAGACTCCCTGGTTGTTTCAGACTAGGCAGAACAGAGCCCTTTCTTGCTCGGAGTGCCACGTTTGTGACAGCAGCAAAAGTGCTATACATTTGTTTCAGTTTAGACAAGAGGGAAGTCATTAGCCTTTGAAAGCATGTTCCTTGGTTGGCATCTCAAGGAGCGCTGCACGTGGTGGTGTCCATCCAGAAGGCCTCCAGCAGAAGCAGCACACCCTGTGCAGGACTGCACTGGCAGCATATTTTGCTTTACTGGGACGTCTGATGACCTGGGATTTGCCCGACTTGCTTCACAGCTGCACAAACTATTTTTTTTTCTCCCTTTAAACAAATCTTCAATGAGACATTTACAAATAATCAGCACCTGTAGAGAGGAGTCTAAGCAGAGATCAAGTGTCATTTCCTCAGAGTGCTGATGGTCTTGGTTCTACCATGTTGTCAACTGCTACATTTTAACCACATGTGATTTAAACATCTGTGCAAGGATGAACCCTCAATGATAGTCTGTTGACATGGTAGTAATTACTGCAGTAAGTGAAATAACCTCAAGTTTATATTAATATTTTTTGAGCTCCTTGAAGTACTGCTAGTGTTTCATAAAGTTGGTTATCAGATACTGTCTCGCTTACTTCTTCAAACAGTCCAAATGAAATAAACATACATTAATTATAGTCTTATACAGTAAGAAGATGTCGTGTGCTTAGCAGGTCATCTSGTGACCAAGAGAGCTTACAAATACTGAAGAGAGTAAATTCAGTAAAATAGGGGGAGTGAGGAGAAAATTCTAAAGAGAACTTAGACCGAAGTTTTTAAAGATCCACTTATTTTTATAGTGGTATTTCTGTAACAAGACCAGCGATKATTTATTTTGAATTTAAAAATAAATAATAAAATCTCAAATGTATTACAGGTATTATCAGGATTAGAGTATCTAATTTTAAATGTTGTAGTAACTGCTCTTTCCTAATAAAAAAACTGCATTTCTTCCCTATTTTACTTCATGTTAAGATTAATTTTAAACTTAAGGAAAGCTTGAGATCAGTATAAGCACAAAAAATGAAGAATGACTATAAAATCATAATTCTTTCAAATATATTTGAGAATGAATTCCATTAAGTTAGAGCAATGACTGCTAAGGAATCTGTTTGACATTACATTTATTGTCAAAAATATTCGGTTTTACCTGTTCATTCAAAGATGATGGCAGTTAATTCTATGTATATTTCAATATACAACATTTTAATATACAACTGTTTTAATATACAACCCCAGCAACAACCGTTGCTGTTACAGCGCTATAATAAAGCTATCCCCAGGACTGAGGTAAGCTAGTTTCAGTGAATAGAACAGTGGCAAAATAGAGGCGTGATACTGTAAAACATTTAAATAAGACTTACTTACATTCTCTATATTCTTTTTATCAATGAGCTTCATYGTTTAAGGAGAAACCTGTGTTTAGTTAAATAACAGGTATTTCTSATTCTAAGGAATGTTTCTGGAAACCTTCCTTAAAATTTGTGCATGTAGTAGCAGATGAGTAGAGTAGGTATCTACCTCTGTGTGCAGGTATAGAAGCACACATGTATACATATGCATGTATATATATGATATATATGTTGCCACTTATATCCTCAAGACTCTGTTTTCTTCTTTTTCCCCCTAGAGGACTACCAACACTGTAAACATGATTTGCTCCTTTTTGGCAGGGTTGCATGGCACACGTCAAGAAGAAATGATTGATCACAGGCTAACAGACAGAGAATGGGCAGAAGAATGGAAACACCTCGACCATGTAAGGACCACTCTATGTAACAGTGACTGAAGGGAATCYTGTATGCAATAAGCAAAACCAAGTTAAATATCAGCTATAAAGTTGTGATTTTAATTTTCTTTTAAAAACCTACAGCCCTGGATAAGCTTTCAAAGTACTGGTGACTAATATGTGAGCCTGATGTTCCCCATTAGKTTGCTTATATTTGCCCTTGCTGTTCAGATGCCTGCTGCAGAATCCTAATTGCTATAGAATRCCAAATGCAGACGAGATGCTGCAGTCTGAAGTCTGGATGTGGACCAGATAGAATGGATAATTGTGTTTGTTCTTTGAATTTATTAGCTATTATAATATCAGCTGACAACAGTTCTGTGCCAGATGCCCTGGGCTACTGCGGTGCCCTGTCCTACTAGTTAGTTAGTCTGTAGTAATTGCAGTGTTTTCATCTTCTTTTCTTTCCCTTTTCCCCATAAATTCAGACCTATCTAGTTTAGGATCACCAGTTAAAGAGAAAATTTTCCAAGGACCAGTGAGAGACTCTTTCACTGTTAGAACTCGGGCACTCAGCACATTAGTATTTTCTTTATATTTTAGTTTGTGAGATCCTTTTTAGTTACTGAGTGTTCTTTTTTATTTCTCTCTCCCGCCATTGTGAAGCTGTTAAATTGTATAATGGACATGGTGGAAAAAACTAGGCGGTCTCTCACTGTACTACGGCGGTGTCAGGAAGCAGACCGGGAGGAGCTGAATTACTGGATACGGCGGTACAGTGACGCAGAGGATTTAAAAAAAGGTGGCAACAGCAGCAGTAGTCATTCCAGACAGCAGAGTCCAGTGAATCCGGATCCAGTTACATTAGGTACAGTATTTTCCCTTAAAATTGTTTATCGGTCTTGTTTGAGCTCAGCTAAGTGCCAGATGAAGTTCAGACGTGTCCTTCTGATTCTTCCTCCTTGGTGGGGATGAGGTCTTCCTCTGTGCTGATTACTGAATTAGCTCCAGCTTCTCTGCCCTAGTAGTCTTGTTTGCACGTGACATGGTTTGGGGGTTTTGGTGGTGCTTGGAAATTTGCTTTCCATTCAGCAATATGTGGAGTGGAAAACAGAACATAATGTAGATGTTCTGATGGATGGTAGAGCGATAGGATGAATGCTTTGGCTCATACTCCCTTCTCTCTCCTCTTCCCTGCCAATATTATAAACAAAACTTTAGGTGCTTCTGGACTTCTAGCTTTAACCTTCTGAATAGATTGAAACTTGGAGAATACCTGTTTTAAAGAAATAAASAAAGATAGCAAAGATACTGGCATTTCTTAGGTGTCCTTGGTTTCAGTGCAGTAAAGCACTAGTCCCACTGGGATGTCAGGTGCTGGGCTCCCTGGACACCCCAGGCCTGGTCAGCCTGGTCACCAAGCTCGGGTCAGGCTGCAGGGCCCTCCTAGCCACCAGTCCCCGTGAGGGACTGTCACCCCATGCTGCACTCGTTCCAGTGGCCCTCGTACCCAAATGCCTCGTAACTAATGGGAGAGGACTGCTGTAGAAATGCAAGCTTTTATTCTGTGTTCTTCCAGACATTCCTTAATATTATTTGGACTGCTTCTCCCACCCCCTTACTTTTATGGCAAGTGGAAGGTACAGAGAAATATCTCAGTGGTGCCTTTTAATTGCTCTCTGTTCCTTGGAAGAGAGTGACAGACAAGGATTCTTGATCTAGTGTTTGACTTTCACACACACAGAAGAAAAAGGGCCATATCAAATGGCTTGGTCTTTGCTTGAGATCATTATAAACTCTGGTCATTAGAAGAACTGAAAATGTATGGTTTAAAAATAAAATAGAATCTGTGTTCTTTTTCTCCTCAAGAATAGCTTTTTAATTATAAAACCTATTTAACTGCATATAGAGAGATAACAAAAATAAATCTAAAGCCTCCTCCACAGTCCTACTGGTAAATCATTAGAGCTCTTACTGTAATATTTAGCGCTCTTTCATAACAAATGAACCTTTTCTTTCTTTCTTTCTTTCTTTCTTTCTTTCTTTCTTTCTTTCTTTCTTTCTTTCTTTCTTTCTTTCTTTCTTTCTTTCTTTCTTTCTTTCTTT